CCTTGGAATGGCTGCCTGGTGCTACAGTTCCCTTTCTCAGCGGAACCCACGGGGAGTGTGGTGTACTGCTCGCAGTGAGTTCTGCCCCGTGGGCTGTGCCTTCTGGGGGCATTGGTATGGGTGGAAGGGTCGTGGAAGTCTTTTGGGCAGAAGTTACTTTTCTTCCTGGTGTCATATGAAAGTCCTGCAAGCAACAGTAACTCCTGACGTATCTAACAATTTCATACCAGATAAGTTTGGATCGCAGTTCAGCCTGATACTATTTGCTTTACATACTTTTTATAATAAACTCTGTTACTTGGCAGCCTGAGCCAATTGGAAGGTGACTATAGCTAATAGCAACAAAATAATGCTAATTATCTCTTTTTATTATAATAAGTACCAAAGGAGAGAGTTTACCACTTTTGTCTCCCAACTGTAAAAGCGGTTGTAATAGAAGATAAAACTCAGTTTTCTGGAAAATGTATGGCTATGGAAGTATTTGCTTCTCTTGAATTTGAAAGAAATGAAAAGTGAAAATATTGCGCTGAGGTCATGACCTCATAGCAGTGTCCTGGAGGGGCAAAAGTAATTTGAAAAGCACTTAACGAAAGATAAGCTCACTTTCTTCCCTCCTCCTCATGCTCTCACATCTAGGTAAGATATTAGGCCTTCTGGGCAAATGTCTGATGACGCATCAGTGCCTAAAATTAATGAAAAAGGCAGCCAAACTTGTAGAAAGAATTTAATAATGTTCAGCTTGTGAAATGTAAGATCGTTCCCTTAGAGCAGAATATTCTCTCTCTCTCTCTTTCTCTCTCCCCTCCGTCCATCTCCTCTCTCTCTCTCTCTCTCTCTCCACACTCCATATTGGGTTTGGATGTGGACAAAATAATGATTTCTAGCTGCGTGGTGATGGGCTCTTTCCTTCCACTGAGCCACAGGGTGCTGCTGAGGTTGGAGAGCACTGGGTCTGTGGGCCAGGTGAATGTCCTGCCTGGCCCTCGGTGGTGCAGGAGGCCCAGGCTGACCAGTTGGTACAGACTGTGGGCACTCTCTGTGACCATGACTCCTCTCAAGGGCTCAGGCAGCCAGCTGGCGCTGGGCTGCTTCTGGCAGTTGCAGTGAGACCGAGTTTCTGTTGCAAAACGTCAGGTGCATCTGCCGGTGGGGAAAGAGCAACAGGCACAGTGGTGGGAACTGGGACCTGGGGACTTGTGGGTTCTAACCCAGCCACGGAGCCTGAAATGAAAGCGAATTCAGTGCTCTCCGTGAGAAAAGAGCTGTAGCAGAAGAATGCAATCTCGTGGGGCTGTTAGGGCCAGCTGGCTTCTCCTGCCAGATGTGTTTCCACCTGGTTCATTCCCAGGTGAGAAAGGCATTCACCCAGGGCAGCTCCCCACTCTGTTTGCTTTCACAGTTTGTTCAGGTTCCGCTTCTGGGTATAAAGTGGAAATATTAGTAGGGATGCGAGGAGAATGAATTACTCTGAAAAGTGTGTTGACAAATAAGAGAGTCAGAGACTATGTCTGATTTGTTTTTATTTCCCCAAGATTTAACCCTTCAGTTGCTCAGAGATTTGTATGGCTGATTGGATGAAAACTTGGTTGTAGGTACCTTATTGATGTTTACGCGGGTGCCAGTACTCTTTGCCGTAAGCCCTGTCAAATCAGCCAATTATTCTAAAGTGATTTCCCTTGGAACATGACACAGAATATATGGGCTGATAACAGTCCCTTTTCATAGTGAGGGCTTACTGTAAGCCCAAGACCTGCTGACGCTTGAATGCTGCTGTGCCCATGGTGGTAGTGGTGGTGGTGGTGGTGGGGCGGGGGGGGGGATTGACCCATCAGAGATGAAATGTGATGGCCCTGTGTTTCTCCCACGTCCTCAGCATCAGCTTTCTGAAGGCCGAGTTTCGGAGGAGGGTTTTTTTCATGTACTAAGTAGTTATCAAGGACCTGGCTATGTGTGGGGTGCGCTGCGAGGCTGCAGGAGAGGGGGGCTGTGGTCACAGCCTTTCGGATGTTGTTTTCCAGGAAGGTAGAGGTGCCCGTTCTTATGACCACAACGTGGTGCAGAATGTGGAAGGGCTGTGGTTGTTTGGAGGAGAATAGAATCCCCCACAGAAGCAATTAGGGAAGACCACAAGTGAAGGAGGTGGGTTTGAACTCCACCTTGAGGCATGGATAGGGATTTGGCGGGAAGGGATGGGAGTGGAGAGACCATTCCAGGTGGAGAGAAAAGCACGAGGAGAAGAAGAGAGGGATGGGTTGGATTTGGGGGTCAGTGAGCTTGCCAGAGCGTGGACTAGACGGGAAGGAGGCCCTCCCTGGAGACCCCTGGACGCCAGCCCAGGACTGTGGGTGACTCTTGCCTGACTGTCTGTAATGTTATGGAGTAACCACCACAGCCCTTTCTTTCCCAGGCACATACAGTGGGAACAGAATCAGTTCTTTCACAGAGAAGCTGGAAGTTCTTGGAAAGTTTTCACTAGATCATTTGTTTTGGGCCCTCTCTTCACTTTCTCTCAGTGGGGAAACACGGCGATTAGCGAGGTAGTGGGAGGGTCGGAACATTTTGTCCTCAGTGTAGATAGCAGCCTCAGGATACCGTGGAGTGTCACCCCTGGTTTGATAGATGGGCTTAAAAAGCAGAGATCAGTTGGTCTCACTTCCCCAGTCAAAATGAACTGGATGTGTTTCTGTTATGCGTAGCATACAATTATGTCTGAATGCGCTACATTATTGATTTGGCTTAATGCTCTTAGACATGCTATCTTGTTTGTTCTGAGGGTTTTGTCTGATTGCAAATACTCAGCCTAAGTTAATATTTCATGAGACTCAATCATAATTTGAGGCTAGAAATATGATGGAAGCCATGGCTACTGGTAAAACACACACACACACACACACAAAACAACTGTGCTGCACTCAGGCCAGTTTAGACTGAGAAACACAGACCCCTATTCAAGAACTAGTCCCATTTCCTTTCTTTGCCATCCTTATGGGCAATGATGAACTTTAACCAGTTTCCCAATTCTTTAGGCTATTGCCCTCCAAAGACCATATTAATTCACTGATTTGATTGACTTACAAATATTTACAAAGTGTTATCATATCCCACGTACTGATTTGAGTAAGAACTTTACACTTATTCATCCAAACAGCCATATGAAGCAGATAATATTATTATGATTACTTCTATTTTGCTGATAGGGCAATCAAGGCACAGAGAAGTGAAGTAATTTGCCCAAGGTCACACAGACAGAGCTCATTGCCAGCTGAGCCGACCTGTGAATCGGAGGTTGTGTTTGGTATCGCCTGTGCAAAAAGGGACACAAAGCCCTTGTGCTCTGTGCCAGAAGTTCATTCTTGGGCCTTTCATACAGGGTTCTTTTCTACCGTAGGTCAGTAGTTGTCTTTCCAGAAACTCAGTATTTTAATTGATTGTAAATGTTTGAAAGTGAATAATTTCTGTGTGTGTACAACAAACACATAAACTATACCAGAGCCAGGGCCTGCACAATGATGACCTTTTTATGTTGGAAGATGTGGCTGTTGGTAGTGGCATTTCTCTGGGTGTATGGCAGTGACTCTGTCGTCAATAAGAAATGACATTTAGTGACATTTTCTATGTGCCCAGCACCCTGCTAAGCACATTTTTCTTTAATCCTCCCAACAACCCTAGAAGGCAGGTCCTGTGAATATCTCCTTTCCACAGATAGGGCAGCTGAGGCCTGGAGAGGCACAGTAATGGAGCACAAGGCATACAGCAGGAAGCGGCAGAGCGGGGACTTGACCCTGGAATTGTTTCTTCAACCTCTGGTCTTGACCACTGTGCAGGCTGCCTGCCCCTGTGCCGTGGGGCCCCCTGCTGGTCCCTGACCCTCCTGGCTGACTGCAGCCTGCTCTCAGGGCTGGCCGGCCCTGCTGGCTGCTGCTGACTCTTGCCAAGGTTTAACATCTGATCAGTATAAATTTCTTATAGCCATTCTGATTCCTGTCTTTATAAGATCCTGCTACTTGCCTTTGCTGTACAGCAAACACTTGAAGAGTCTGATTTCACCCATTGTTCTTCCATCATCAACCTTACACCCAGCCCAAGTTCAGCATTTGCTGAATACCACTCCGTCCTGCTAGGGGGAAGCAAGAATGTGCACAGGTGTGGGCGGGCAGGTGGACCCTGACACAGTGGATCCTGACATTGAATGTGGGAACTGTATGGAGGGGAGTCTGTGCTTATGATGTCACGTGAGCTGCTCATGAGGCACCTCAAGGAGTCTCTGCACCTATTTACAATATGTTCTCTTACTTTCAGACAATATTTTTTTTCTACATCAGGCATGGAGTCCGTATATGGGACATGCTCAATAAGCTTTTGGTAAATGAGTGAATGAACGAGGGCTGGATGCATGGATCATTCATTGCTTGGTTCCTTTGATTAAATGGCATCCTGTAAGGCCCTGGGATGCCTTGCTACTTAGGACTGTATTTCCTCCACTGGCTCTTCTGCCTGCAGGTTTGAACCCTCTTCCTGCCCCACTGTCCCCCGCTCTCCATCTCCATGTCAGTCCAGAGCGTGGCTGGACAGTTGGTGGCAAGAACTGTTCTTTTAGGTCGTGCTACAGATGGTATGAGGGCCTATAGTTTTAGAATAAAACCATACTTTAGGGAAATCAGGAGTTAAATCAGCTTTCCAGGGACTCCAGTTACCATGTCTGATATTCATGTAGGAACATTCTGATTCCTAAACAGACTTTAGGGCAACCCACTAGGGACTGGGATGTTTGAGAAGCTCATCACACAAGCACACGCAGTGGAATGTGTTCCACCTCCTGATTTGGTTGTCTTACTGAAATGCTGGATTGAAAATATAGTGTTAAGGGAAACTCCATTCGTGGTACCAGCGATGGATTCCCAGGGAGTTTTGTTTTCCGGTTGGAGTTTGAAACCGGTGCATCACACCAGCGTCAGGACAGGCTGCACGTTAAGTGGCTTTCCTTTCTGTGTCTCTGACAGATGTGTCATCCCCACACCAGCGAGCCTCGGCCAAGATGAAACCAATAGAAGAAGGAGTGGAAGACGATGACGAAGTCTTTGAACCCGTGTCACCAAAAACATTTAAAGTCCATGAGTTGCCTTGATCAGAGAGAAGAGCCAAGTTACCAAGATGGAAACTGTCTTGAAGAGATCCTGAAAAATACCAGCACTTTGTCACTGCTCTTAGATTATTCCGCTTTAGGACATCCAGACGGTATAATCTAAGGGCAGAAAAGTGAGGAAGAGTCAAAAGTGGGAAGGTTATTTTAGCTCTCTTTTTTATTGGTCAGCTTTTTAAGTGGTGGCTTTCCTGAGCCTTCTGACTAAACCTAGTTCTATTTTGAGATACATATTTTCACAGTATTTTCTAGATACACTATCATTTTAACTTTAAAAATCTTAGTGTTCTGTCCATTCAAATGCCTTTCCACTTACTTTTCAAGGCTGTGGTTCATCTTGCTCACAGGCAGTTTTTCTCTCCCATGGCGGTGGCGTTGTCTATTCCATAGCTTTAACACACAATGCAGGTTTGAAATTGAGGTTGCAGTAGCATTAAAAAGCAGGGAATCTCAGGCTTTGCAATTGATTTTTTAGATGGGAAATTTTAAACAAAGACGTGATTCGACTGGTGTTTATTTTTCTACCAGGCCAGACACATTACCCCACTAGATTGCCTTCCGCGGACGTTGCATAGATAGCTTGATAATGAACAAAGCATCAGACTTCGCTCACATTACCCTTGTATTATGCTATTCATACATCAGTCCTGAAACCTAAAGCTGGAAAGATTAACAGATGGAGGTGGTTCTGAGCCCGGTGTCAGCTTTCAGCCACTCACCTGGGGTTTGGAGCCATCTCACCCCACACATCTGTTGTGGATACACTTCACTTGGGGCGGGGAGGAGAGGAGGGTCAGGTGGCCGAGCGAGTGGCACAGAGCAGCTTCATCCTTTGGTCAGGATTCTGAAGTTTCAGGTTGTTTCTCCAGCCATAGATGTCTCTTTAACAGACACCCAGTTCTGTGGGGCCGGGGGTACCCAGCCTAGCTATTGCCATGAGGGCCTTGATTCCACTCTCCTCTCTACCAGAACCACATTTTAGGACACGGTGGTGTTTGGCTGGTGGGGAATGAGGAGCTGGCTTGACTCATGGTCAGTCTGGGGGGTGTGATTGTGGCACCCAGTTGGGTGAAGCCTGTTGACCGGCTGTGCGGCTTCATACCCATGGATGTCTTGTTTCATCCCCTAGAACAGTGATGGCGAACCTATAACACGCATGTCAGAGGTGACACGCGAACTCATTTTTTTGGTTGATTTTTCTTTGTTAAATGGCATTTAAATATATAAAATAAATATCAAAAATATAAATCTTTGTTCTACTATGGTTGCAAATATCAAAAAATTTCTATATGTGACACGACACCAGAGTTAAGTTAGGGTTTTTCAAAATGCTGACACGCCGAGCTCAAAAGGTTCGCCATCACTGCCCTAGAACCAGCATTGAGTCAGTGCCCTGTTATAGTAACTGGCTAAGGCAAGTTCCAAATGGAACTATTTTCAGACGAGTTGAGCCAAAAGAAGCACCTCTTGCCAAGGGGTAATATCTGTTAGAGAAGGTAAATAAGCTACTCTGTCATTTTCCTAGATCCTTTTTTAAAAATTAAAGCCAATTATTTTAGTCATTTCACTTGAGTATGTTTACATGCCAGGTCATCACTGAGAAAATTTGCACAGACTGGGACTCCAGCTCCCAGCATCTCTCTCCAAGGTTGGCGCAGCCACATCACAACAGAAAGGCTGGCTTCGCTCTGCGACACTAGCCTCTCTCCGGGCGCCACAGTGGAGATTTGTTTTGGGGAAACGAAGCAGAGGTGAACGGCTGAGCCCTGGCTTTAAGATGTAAAGATAAACTGGGTTGAGCTGTACATGTCTGTGCCTGAGATCACGCGTGTGGTCGTGAGGGGATGGTGTTAATACTGCTCCCCTTTCCTGGTGGGTAAGCCGAGTAGACCATTTAGGTCACACGTGCATAAGAGGAGTTACAGAGTCAGCCCACAGAGTCATTGGATGTCACATCCTCCCTAATAGAAAGTAGTTTTAGATTCTGCTGAGGCCGCGCTTTCATGTTCTGTGGGCGCACAGAACCTTGACCTTGGGATCCCTGACCCCAACCACCTTGAGGTTTGTCTCACGTTGTCACCTCAGAGAGGACTCAGAGAGGAAGGGTCGTCTCTAAGGCTCAACCTGGACATGTTGGGAGGTTATTTTCTGTAGTGCTGGGAACAGAGATTTTGAAAGCACACTGCTGAAATCAGGTGACAGGAAGTGATGTACTGTTTTTATTACAATGTGTGTGTGTGTAAGCGTGTGCACATGCGTCCGTGTCATGGATAAGAAGACTGATCTCAGGGTTAGGGATTTTAAAGAGCCACTTAGCCTGAATGGGAAACATGAAACTGTTTTTAAATACAGCCCTCTAAGGAAGACAAGGGGCCTCGGGGAAAAGGAGCCGTGGCCACTGAGGGGCCCTTCCACAGAGACTCGATAGCCAAGAAGCAGATAAGGAAACAGAAAAGAGCTCTCGGTGTAAGCTCTCTGGATGACTTTAAATCATTTATACAAATGAGCAGCATATCTTTGTATGAGGCATAAATGCATAGCCAAAAAAAAAACATGTTTGTTGCCAAAGCCACCAAATAAGATGCTTCCTGTGATTTTGGTACTCACCTGTGTGACCAAGGTTCAGAAAATGGTCTGCAAAAATTATTCTATACGTCACCCCTAATCTATGTTCAAGTGTAACATCACGTCTGTTGTATGAATCTGGAGTGTAACATTCATACCAGAATGTATGTATCATTTGTAATATTTTGGAGCCCTCATAAGTATTTGTATTTATAAAATAATAGCACAGACACTAGATAGATCCTTGATGATGTTTATGTATCTTAAGTTATAATAATGGGTGCTATATGATTACTTTGTGGTTACCATCCTTTGCTTTCTGGGGTCTTTCCATACCTCCCTATGGTTCAGTTCCACCTGAATCACTTGGCGCGTTCGTGCTTTGCTGCCTGCAGTGTGCACACTTGGAGACGTCACCTTCTTCCTACGGTTCTCCATCCACAGGTCTGAAGCTTTTCTGGTTTTATAACTTGCAGCTGCTGATTCCTGCGTCCCGGGTTCTATGTTGGCCCGAAAACAGAGACACTTGGATGCTGGAAAAATCTTTGGGGGGAAGTTGATGTAACCTACACACTCCGCCCTGCTCCTGGTGCACAGGTCATGACTCCGCCCTCCAGGGAAGATTTTTCTGCCAGTGTGTGGTGGCCCAGCTGCAAACGTGGTCAGGTCCGGCCTTCAGGGTCCTGGTGCCCTCCACCCTGCAGACCCCAGGGTGCAGCTCTGAGGAGCCTCTGTTTTTGTGTTGTGTTTGTTTTTATTTTCATCATTTCCTTGGGTCATTTCTAAAACTGCTCTGTAGAAACCTCTGCTCTAGCCATGCCTCGGTTTCCCCTCCCCTCCCTCTTTCCAACCCTGGTTTCCCAACCTCTTTTTCTATTTATCCTCAACTAGAGTGACTAGAGATTCCCACCTATTCAATTCCAATTCCCAAGGGCTTGAAAGGCTAGGATACTGTGTAGGGAGCTTGAGGTCGTGGTGTAATCTCGGCTTCAGTTCTGCTCGAGGGACAAACCCTTCTCACTGAGGGTAGCCATGCCTGATTGTCACAGAACCCCAGATGCCTCGTGTAGGATGACAAATTGCAAGTGTCACTTAAGAAACCTGCTTTTAAGTACTATTTACAGGTTCTGTTATACTTACTTGCAACCTGGTTTTAAAGTACGTGAGGATTTTATGAATGCTTTATACAGTCACGTTTATAAAAAATTTACATTTTGTCTGAATAGAGCCTTATCATTTAAAATATCTTCATATATTGTCATTTAATCAAATAAATTTCTTACTTAAAAAATACGTGTATTTTCATTTCATTCTTCTTACTTCTACAGTTTCGTAAGATGCCACAGCACAGGGAGTCACATGAAGGGGGCGGGGACTCCCTGGCCTATTCTGTGGGGGGCAGGAGGGACCCATCTATACATGCTTGAAGGAACGCACATTTCTTCCGTCGTCTGTCCTAAGTATTGGAATGGGGAGCTGAGAGCCCATCCCTTGGCTTCCAGCAGCTGGTACTTGCCCTAACCACCCCCCAAGACTAGACCCAAATGGAAGGAGCATCTTCTACTCCCATAAAAGGAACTGATTCTTTTACTCCATAAGCCATGTCACCTAAGTCTAAAGTCCCTTCAGATCACTGTCCAATTTGGCAAAGCCCTTTTCCTTACCCCTCAATGTCCCAACACTTCACAAGGCCAGGACGGTGCAGGACAGGCGTTAGCAGCCTGGATTTAGGAGGGAGGGAAGTGCACAGAGGGCGAGTAACTGGTCCAAAGCCGCATGGCCAGCAAGTGAGCAGCCAGGACCCACCTGCGGGCTTGCTCTGGGCACTCTCCTAGTTCCATCTTACAACTCCGAGGAACCTACTTCTTTCCAACCACGCTCTTCATCTGCTCCTGGGCCTTTTCCTCATCCCACCGTGGGGCCGTTTTCACAGTTCCAGCATCATCCAGGCCAGCCTGCTGTGGGATGCTACCCTGTGGACCCAGGACATGGGGCGCTACGTTGGTATAGCCTTGCTATTTACTAGGCACAAAGGCCTCCCCATTGGCCTTCAAGATCCCCCAGCCTCCTCCTTCCTTCTGTCATGAGAGAGTTCACCGCCTTCCAGGTGCCAGCCAAGTCCCTCTGTTTTTCTACCCCCATGTGCTTGTCGCAGCTGCGTGCTGCTCTGTGGCAGGTAGGGCCGTGGGGCCGGCTCCCTGGAGAAAGAAGCACGTGATCGGACTTCCCTCCGCTCTGACTCCCCGCCCCCGACAGGGCTGCAGGACCATAGGTGGTTTGGAGGAAGCAGAGCTACCCCACGCCTGAGTAAGTGGACGTCCCACAGCTACAAACGGGCTCTCGGCTCTTCGAGGGCACTGCAAACCGGCTTTACAGGAAAGCAGCCTCGAGGGGGAAATGAGAATAGCCATTGACTTCTTGCTATTTGTTTGCAAATGATGAATATGTTTGCAAATGCTGCTGTGTCTGTGGGTCTACTTATGCCCCTTGTGCAGAGACGGCGGAGGTGGAACCACGGAGGCCCTTGGAAGGAGCTCAGACAGGGAGCAGACCTCAGGCCCCACCCCCAAGGGGCCAACTATACTGCACGGAAGACAGAGCTACCAGCTGTTGTCTGCTCTGAACTCACTTCTCTTACCACTGCCGCTGCTACCTTGGGGCCTCGTCAATCCTTCGTAAGGTGCTCCCCATTACTATTGTTTTTCTCATCTGATCTCTTCTAACTTCTTATTAGTATTGATATGTATAATGAGTAAGAATCTTATACTTTATACTTTCATACATATATTTATAGAGAGAGGCATGTTTTTAGAAAAAGAAAAATTAAAATCTGGTGTTGCCCTTTAAAATAATCTACCAGTTCATGTAAAGATGTGGGGGGGCTAGTGACATGTTGCCTCCAACAGATTTCTTATCTATGTTGTCCATCTCGGCCACCCTCCTGACAAAGCAGCCCTAAGGCAGGACCTGAGCTTCCCCCCCCCCTCCCCCCACATGGCTCTGAGGTCAGACAGATGCGGCTCTGAACACTCTCTACCCAAGGATCTGCAGCAGGTTGTCAGGATGGGCAAGTTTTGACAACAGGAAGAATGGAGAGAAGTTCTTCTAGACCCCAGAGAGTGTGGGGAGGGAGAAGTTCTCCAAAATTCAGGAGCTCGCCGAGTGTTAGTTCTCACCCCTTTTCCTTTGTCCTTTGGTTGCCAAGTTGGGTCCTTGAGGCTTTGGCAACCACCGTCCTTGGAAAGAGCCAGAGAGTCGGTGCCAGGACCTGAGGGACAGGAAAGGCAAGGGCTGTGGCCAGGGCCCCTGGTGCTCACAGCAGAGGTGGCTGGAGGCATTGTCTGCTTGTTGGACTGGGGCAAAGAAAGAGCCCATCCTGACTTCGGGAAGTGGCCCCGGGAAGCACTAGGCTGGAAGGAGGCTGTAGGCACCTCTGTGAGGTGGCTCATGGGTGGAAAACACTGGTGTTCAGTTAAATGATGATCTTAATAAGGTGAAGAGAAGAAAGAACTTGTTCAGTGTGGTCAACCTTTAACACTTATTTTCAATGAATACCCCTGCTTATCTCCCCATGGTGGCTGCCCAGTAGCTTTGGGCAGGTGGGGTGGACATGCAT